TTCCTCATTGGGAGTAGGAGTTGTCGGTTACCATCCTTGTATTCCTGCATTATCTAAGCCCTGTCACTGATGGTGCTCAGTGCAGTGTGGTTGTATGATGTCCTTTGCCTGCTTCCTTTACCTAGCTTTACCTAGTCTGTCCTCTGCCCCTCTATCCATCCTCCCAGCATATATGCTCTTCATCATACAGTAGTACCAGGCATGTAGTATAGGTAAAACATACTCGGTCCCTGAATATGGAGTAAAGAGACAGTCAACAAGTTAACTAATAAGTACATACAAATTGGGAAAGATAGAATGAAAAAGACTGACTGTACACTGAGCCAGAGGAAGTGGAAGAAGGGTCACCAGCGTCCTCAGACATCCACACAGCCTCCAGCGAGGTGACTGTGAGATGGAAAGATGTGGACTAAATGCTTTTCCCATTCTAGCCAGTTCTCAGAGGCATACATTATCACTTTGAACTTGTGTGTTGGTGCTTTAATAGTAAATATGCTAAGTTATGGTTATATCATTTGTATTCAGATATGAATATGTTCAATTAGACCATTAGCCCATTGAGAAAGAACTGTGTCTATGTGGCAAGCATGCAAATCTTCATACATAATTGCCATATTGACTGTTTTCATTTGTTTAGCTTATTAAGAATTTGATGTTTTCCAGGTGAGGCATGGTGGTGCACACTTTTAATCTCAGGCTGAGGCAGGTGGATCTCTGAGTTCCAGGCCAGCCAGGGCTGCACAGTGAGACACTGTCTTTGAAAAAGAAAATGTAGTGGGGCAGTGGTGGCACATGCCTTTAATCCCAACAGAGGCAGAGGCAGAGGCAGGCGGATCTGTCCAGCCTGGTCTACAGAGCGAATTCCAGGACAGCCAGGACTACACACAGAGAAACCCTGTCTTGAAAACAAAACAAAGCAAAACAAAACAAGAAAGTAATTTTTTTTTCTGAATTTGAGACAAATTTGTCCATTCCTTTTAAGTATATAAGTAACATATTTTGCCTGCTTTGTATGTTTGAAGTTTTCTGGTATAATAGAAAACAAAGTAAATTATTTGTGAAGCAAAAAAGTAAATGAGTCATAGTAACAGCCCCTACTATGCCGTGATGCACACTGTTTGTTTTAACTGATTCTGCTCATCTTGCCCATCCATGTGGCTGTGTAGGTTGAACTTGGCTGACATGTTTCCTACTTCTGTACCAGTGTTTGCTAACACCAGACTTGATAGTTTTTGCAAGCCTGGTTATTGAATTAGTGTCCAGGCTTGCATTTTGTCACGTCACATTAGCCATTTGCATTTCTCTTTGCTATTCAAGCACTTTGTAGCTTTTCCTATTGAGTTGTTTGTCTTCCTGAGTTATAAGCAATCTACATAGCAATCCTCTGTTGTGTAGACTACAGGTATTTCTCTCAATCTCTTTTATATACTCTACATAGCAATCTCTGTTGTGTAGACTACAGGTATTTCTCTCAATCTCTTTTATATACTCTACATAGCAATCTCTGTTGTGTAGACTACAGGTATTTTGTCTCAATCTCTTTTATCTTTCTGTTGTTTGAGCTCGCCTTTTATACCCAACGATAACCAATAGTGGATATTCCATTTCAGTCTAGTCTAGTACTTTTGGTGATGGTATGTTCTGTGTGCAGCTGAAGCAGCGTTCTGAAATATGTGGGACTGTGGTGTCTGCTGTCAGCATGCCAGGAAAATGGTCACCAGCATTCACTGTCTTGGGTCCAGCAGACCCTGTTTTTTAGTTATCTTATAAATTATTTACAAAAGTAGGAATAGGAGGGTAACTAAAGATTCATTTGAAAATATAATAAATGGGGGACTGGAGAGGTGACTCATTGGTTAAGAGTACTTGCTGCTCTTACAAAGGACCTGGCTCAATACTGTCTGTAACTTCAGTTCCAATGCCTTACTCAGGCCTATTTGGACACTAGACTTGCACATGATGCACATACATATAGGGAAACACTTGTACACATAAAAATAATAATACATAAAAAATATATAATACATGAAGCAACTTTTCTATATTCTTTTGGTTATGGATAAACACACGCACATGCACACATACACAGACATACTGGGTGTTTTTTATTGTGTTTTCTTTCTTTAAGTTTTAATTTACTTATTTTATTGTGTTTTGTTTCTTGAGACATGGTATACCATATAACTCTGGCTTGGAACTTGCTACATAGGCCCGACTTGGCTTGAACTCCCAGAACTCCTTCTGCCTCTGCCTCCCAAGTGCTGAAATAAAAGGTGTGTGCCACCACACCTGGCCATATAGTCTGAATTTGTATTCTGTATTCTATTTGTTGGGAACGCACACATACACATGTGTTATTCCTGAAATGGATAATGTCTCAGATTACAGCCAACTGCTCATTAGCTGTTGTGCATGAAACTGATGCAGCCGTCCTGAAAGACTGATTGTGGGTTTTGGTTCTATCACTAATAAAGTCTGGTGCATCGTTGCTCCTAGTTCTTCTCATTCAAAAACAGCACTTGAATGCTGTTTTTTGTGACACCTTTGGTGAGTCACATGGCTCCTTTGTTTCCTAATTCAAACATTTTATTTATTTATTTATTTTGTATTTAGAGTAGACTAGTCAGTGGTTTGTTGTTATTGTTGTTGTTGATTTTTGTTTTTGTTTTTCTGAAACAGGGTTTCTCTGTGTAGCCCTGACTGTAGACTGCTCTGTAGAGCAGGCTGACTTCAAACTCAGAGATCCACCTGCCTCTGCCTCCCGAGTGCTGGGATTAAAGGTGTGCGCCACCACCTGGCTAGTCAATGATTTTTAAGATGTCTTTGTCATCTATGTCCCTCTGTCATTATTGTAGACCTTCCTCTAGCTTACCCACTTGTGAACTATACCAAATACAATCTTACACACACTGTCATGGAAAATGAAAGAATAGGGTGTGTCTTTTTATTATAACAGGAGTCATCCAGGATCGTATTGCAAATGTTGCGGAACATCTTTCTTGGTGAAGCTGAACTGAGCAGAGAGTATGCTCTTTCCTTTTTGTGCTAGGAATATATTGTCTACTGATCAATGCTTTTTTTTAAAAATCACATTTATTGTATATTTTGTGTGTTCCTGAGTGGGGAGGAATGCATGTGGGCAAGTCAGAAGAGAACTTTGAGTTTTTTTCCCTTCTTCCACCGAGTGGGTTCTGGGGATCAGTCTCAGGTCACCAGGCTTGGCAGGAGGTGCTGGCCCAACTCAGCAGTTCTTGAGTTTGAGGACATTCATCTGGTCTACTGCCACCCAAAGACCATAGTGTGAAATTTGCTTATCCTGTCATTGCCATTGGACATGTGCTGTGCACTTCTCTCTCTCTCTCTCTCTCTCTCTCTCTCTCTCTCTCTGTGTGTGTGTGTGTGTGTGTGTGTGTGTGTGTGTGTGTGTGTGCGCGCGTGCGTGTGCACATCTGATTTGTCTTGGAATTGTGGAGTGTCTTCCTGCCCCACTTTTCTTATGACCATTAGAGATGGAATATGTTGAAGTAAGGATTCCGAACTGTGTTCACTGGAGGCCAAAAGCAGCTAGAAGTGCCTCCAGTGGTTCATTCTGTACTGAAACTGCGCGAGCTGCTCTAGAAGGGAACACCACAGTTGACTCTGCAGACCCTGTTGTTACACTGAGGGCTTGTCTCCACCTGAGCATATCTGCTGTTAACGAACAGGAGTCATTTCCAGAATGGTCACAGACCTGAAGGAATTGGTGCCCGTGTGAGGCATCAATTGCGTTGTGAGCAGAAGGAGGGAATTCACTTCTTTTGTCTGGAACAGGTGCATCCTCTTCCTGGTCATCTGCTCACGAGAGCCCTGCTTTGTCTGCAGGTCTCCTCTAAGCCTCTTTTGTCTCTCCAAGCCCTTGAGCTGTTGGCTGCTGAAGTAAAGTGCGTCTCTGCTGAGCACAGGCCACTGCCAGCATCTCAGCTGGGAAGTCTCTCTAAGAGGTGTGTTTGCCAAGTGCAATATCATTGTGTGTGCAGGCATCTCAGCAGTCTGCCAAGCCCAGAGGTAGGCTGCCAGTGCAAATGCCACGTCGACATGGCATTTACAAGTTTAGAATCTGGAAAAGGACTGGCCGTGGACACCCTTGAGCTATCTTGTTTCCTGTATCAGTAACTGGGCCAACTTGGATTTTCAGACTGAAACATTCAATCAGGAAGTAATACTTGATGTGTTTGAAGCTGTCATTATTACCTCTTCCAGGAAAGGATAAATTCATAGGCTGTAGGATAACCCATAATGGTTAAGCTTGCAGATTCTATAATCTAACCTGAATGAGGCTCTTATCAGTTACTACGTGAACTTGAACAAGCTACTTAATCTGCATGACCTTGAGTAGGTTTATGCCTCTGCTCTCCATCTGTGAAACAGGGACACCATTGTCACCTTTCTCATAGATTTATCGGATGGAATAAACAAATTTAAAACCAAATCACTTACATGCTTCAAAACCCCATGGTAGGTTGTTTCCAGTTCTCATACTTCAGTCATGAAAATTTTCCAGAACAAATTGTGCTAGCCCGAGCTTGTACGTACGTAGACCAGCCACTTGATTCAGGCACTGTTGCAAGACTGTACAGGTACCCAGGATACAGTTTTCCTCGTCTCTCTAGGAAAAGCTAGAGCTGGAACCAGGATTGTTTGAGCATTTGGCATTTCTGTAATTGTTTAGATATAAAATTATTTGGAACTTTGTATACCTTGGTACTTTTGTGTGTCACGTTCGAATGCAAAATGCAGACCCATAGCTCTTGAAAGGCTGCCTATTAGGGAGATATACTTTTTTTTGAGGGGGGGGGGCATGAGTAGCAAGATCTATTATCATGATCTGGTACCTGAACAGTAGACTTTTCTCTATTTATATAAAATATAATCCTTGATGCAGCACTTGGTTTCTTTCAATTATTTCCAGAGCCATTAGTAAAATGATGAAATTCCTATCCCCTCCTTTCTCTCTCTTTCAGGTCTTCAAAGCTGCTTCGGGCATTCTATGTCCCGTTCCTGTCGGATCAATATACAGTGTATGTGAACTACACCATCCTTAAGCCTCGGAAAACAAAGCAAAGCAGGAAGAGAAGTGGAGGTTAGCAGCACCCCCATGGCTCCAACGGACAGCCACCATGTTAACTAGTGGTTCCACTGAGCTGACTTCCAGGTCATCATATAACGCTCGTAATAAAGGTCGCCTGATACGAAAGCCAGATCCGGGTGCTCTGAGTTTGTCGTGTCTGTGTCAGAGTCACACGCTTCCTGCCCCTGTGTCTGTTCTGCCTGTGAGCTTTCTGCAGACAGAGTCCCGAAAGCCTGGGGAGAAACATTGCTCCATTGTCCTTCTTTTCTCTGTTCAGTCATTTACTAGAGTGGAGGAGAGCAGAAGCCGCTTACAGGAAGAGCTGAGCGCTCTTGGCTGGGTGTGTGTGTGCTGGCTCTTCTCCACACTCTGGCCTGCCATCCGGGAACTAGCAAACTATCCTTAGGCCACATGGTTTCTCCACCCAAGCTGTTTGGCAGCTCCTAGCAGACCGTGTTCAAATCCTAGTGCTGAAAAGCGCAGCCTAGTTGCCGCCGACATGTCCTTTCACCTCCAGCAAGACAGAAGCATTCGCAGGACTACGGCCCTGGCCTGGAGCTCAGGAAAAGACGGCCACTGAAGAACTGGGACCCAATCTTACTGCTCACGATGCCTTCATTTTCATTTTATCTTCTTTCAAACCAGTCTTAATTATATTTGGGAAGGGTTTTAAGATTTTTAAAGTTTCAGTGTGATACATCTTGAATTCTAGACTCTGTACAAAGATTATAACTATATTGAGCATCTTTGGAGAAAAGTATAATAGATTTGGGTGAAGTCACATTTTAAAGTAGTCAGAGGCCATTTTGGGGACATCGAGAATTCTTTATGTAAAATGAAATGAAAAGGACTGTGTATATAAAGCACCCATACTTCAATTCTGCTGCAAGGGGACCTTCAGCAGGCAGGTCTGGTTGCATAGGCGTGGTAAGGACAGTTAACAGGTAGTGAGCCTGCCTGTTACCTCCCCTTCCCTTAAGATACGGCACAGTGGGGAGGGCGTTTTCTCATTTGATCCTAACAACCACTGAGGACCCACTTCTCAGAAGAGGAAGCAGATGAAGGTGGAGAGAAGTGGCTTGTCCAGTGTCATGTGTGTGGGCAGTCCGTCACAGGCCTGGGAGTAGAATCCAGTGTCATGTGTGTGGGCAGTCAGTCACAGGCCTGGGAGTAGAATCCAGGCTGTCTGACCTCTCCTGCTTTCAAAATTGCCCATGCCTCTCCACTCGTCTACGAAACACCACTTGAAAGGAGGAATAGACTGGCCACAGACCAGATTAGTTTTGCCAGTCTCTATTTTAGGGAAGATGTTTAGGTACAGTTCTTTGAGTTCTTGGAGCCTGTGGGTGATACCTTCTTAGCAGTGCTGTGTGGTATTGCCAGGCCTTGGTAGGACAGTCCTTGCTCTGTACTCCACAGAATCTTCTGTGTGCAGTGTTCTTGTCCCTGTGGGCCATGTTACAGGTGCCTTATTTCCTTAGGGTGACAGGTTCTAGGAGTGCCGAGAGGGTAGAACTGGTCATGGTTTCCGTTGTTCTTTTTCCTTTAGAGGAAAGTAGCTTTCTAATGGGAATTAGTCCCAATAAAAGAATAAAGAGGACAGAAAAATAAGAAGTAGAATGAAAGTATTTACTCTTGGGGGTTCCCCTCTAAAAGAACATCTGGAGTTGAATGAAGCAGAGGTGAGGTAGCAGGTCCAGACATACAGAATGACAGCTGAATAGGAACGATGAACTGCAGCCCTACTGTGTGAATAGTCCCTGCAATTTAGTTCTCAGTATCCGATCACCATTTTCCAAAGCAAATAGTGGGAATGTGATCTGAAGAACAGAACTGTAGTGAGACACATTGCAGAAGCCAAGGCACTACAGGATGCATGGAAGAGTAGATGGTGGAGTTCTGTGAAGAGTGACTCTTTTCCAGTCCAAGTACAGGAGTAGGGGGTGGCTGAGTGGTAGAGCACGTGTTTGCTGTAAGTAAGGTCCTAGATTCAACTCTTAACATATGCAAACCCCTCCCAATGGCACAAAGTTGAGCTATTTGATCATCTTACAAGTTTGAAACAAATGTAAAGATCCTCTAAAGGTGCTTGACAGGAACCTAGGCCTGCACATACACATACATAGGCATGCACTCATACATGCACACACAGTCGTCCGAGTAAGAACTTAATTATAAAGTAGCACAAAAAAGCCAGATGGGTATAGAGATCTCTTGGGAATGTCAATTCCTGTCCCTTTGAAAACCTCACTCTGGTTTTCTCCATTCTGTTTTCTGGTGAGAGCACAGTACATCTTGGACACTATGCCAAGTACCTCTTGGCAACATGGGGGTTAGCTTCCCCTGCAAAAAAGGCATCTGGTCAGTCTCACATCTTCACCGAAAACTGTGGTGCTGCATACACCATTGCTCAGTCCCCAGACTAAGGTACTTGTGAATTGTTCCTGCTGAGGAATGAGATCTACACATGATTCATAATCTCCTTTGCGGACGGAACGAAGTAGTGGGTAGACTTGGCAAATCTAGACTTTTCTGATCTCTAGCCCTGAAGTGGCTTTATTTGAACCTAAATCTTGTGACACCAAGTACCAGTATTGACCCAGTCTGTATGATAGGAATCTGTTAGCAAAATCTTCCTTTGCCTTTTTTATCATCTGATAAGAAGACAGGTTATCTTAATCCTTTCGGGGATGTGCAGGAAACTGCAGCCTTGTCTCCTCATGCTGAAGTCAGGCGTACAAAAGACACGGTTTTCAATCAAGGTGGTGATTGATCCCAGTCTTGTCTTGAGGTCATTGTTTCCTAGTCTGGAGTTCTGGGAAAGACCTTTGGAATCCTTCTGTAAGGATTCCAAATAGCCACTTCCCCAGTGGGAACCTTGCTACGTGTGCTTCTTAGGGTGGTGAATGAGAGTCACTGTGCGTGTATAGCTGTGTAGCTAACACCAGACACCTTGGCTTTTAATGTAGTTTTGTTTTCTTTAAAGGGGAAAATAGGCAATTAAATCTCTGTCTCCCCAGATTCAGGAAAGCTTACATGTGAGTCTACGTTTAGGCTCCCACATTGAACTCCTCAGGTGAATGGATGACGTGGGCATGTGTTCAGCTTTAATGGTTTTGTAACAGGAAGTTGAAGGCCTCCATAAGGCACTGATTGGGTTTCAGGGCCTTGCTGGATCCATAAATCTGAATGTTCCTTTAAATTTCCCAGTCTCTGTGACCTTGTGATTCTTGATGCAGATGAAACCAGGAAGCAGCACAGGGCTGAAACCAGTGCTGTCCAGGTCACTGTCTTCCTGACCCTTGGGCTTTCTCCTGTGCCGGTGGTTACATTACATACCTACTGGGTTTCTGTGAAGGAAAAAGTGAATACATTTTGACAGTTTGATTTCTCTCTCTCTCTCTCTCTCTCTCTCTCTCTCTCTCTCTCTCTCTCCCTCCCTCCCTCCCTCCCTCCCTTCCTCTCTCCCTCCCTCTCAGACAGGGTTTCTCTGTGTAGTGCTGTATGTACTGGAACACTCTCTATAGACCATTCTAGCCTTGAACTCAGAGATCCACCTGCCTCTGCCTCCCAAGTGCTGGGATTAAAGGTGTCATCCCAACCCTGGACTTGATTTCCCCTTTCTTAAGGTCACTTTTTTTCTTTTGCATTCAGCTTTAATCATCATTGGGAATTGGAATTGGAAACAGCATGACTTGGGCATTCTCCATCCCCATGCCCGTGCCTCAGTTCATAGATGCAACTTCTCCAGGTCAAAGATCCCAGAACGTTTACCCTGAAACTTAGGGAAGAAGCCTTCTGGAATCAGTGATGTTTTATTCCTTCCAGGAGAAATAAAGCACAACAGGAATTTATTTTTGAGCATTGTGCTTCAAAGAGAGAATGTGCCACATGCCTAGCTTATCTTACGGTTTGGGTTTCAAGTCTCCGGAGTACAAGGGTCTAGTTTTCATAGGCATCTCGATCCAGTTATAGCTGGCATTTGGATCGTTTCTCCCTTTGGGGAGGTGTTAGACTTTTGGGGGGTGGTAGGAGCAAGTGAGTTTTCCACATCATTTTCTTGTCTTGTTCTTCACATGCAATCTCATTGCCTGGTTTTTCATAATTACTTTTCATTTTTCTTCCCTCATGAACCAGGTGTCCTTGAGATTTAGTTTGGTTTATTTCTCCCATGCTATTTTAGACGCTTTCATTAATCTAGTCCCAAGTGGGAACAGACCACTGTAGCCATTGTTCTGTCCTGTGTAGGACACCACTTTTACTCCCTGTCTGCTTCTCCATCTTTAGAACCTCATTTAAGAACCCTCTAGACTTCAGACCCCTGTGGCGACTTCCTTTTTCACCTTTTGTTAGGCGCAGACAGCCTTAAGCAGAAACCTTGTAAACCTGTGTCTTGATAATTGGCATGATGGGGCAAACTCCATATAGTCTTACTCCAGGGCTCAGCATTCCCCCAGCATTTTGGTCCCATGGATTCTTATTGACAACGAAGAAAGAAAAGACAGAGACACCGTTTTACTAACACACAGCTCTTGTTTTCAGTTTGGCACAGATTCTTAATGTTTATTTCTTGAGACACGGTTTCATTCTGTAGCCTAGACTGGCCTGTAACTCAGTATGTAGCCCAGACTGGCCTGGGATTCACAACAATCCTCCTGCCTCAACCTCCCAGTGTTGTGATTATTAGGCACAAGTCACCGTGCCCAGCATCTTGGTCTGAATTCTTAGACACAGAAAATACAGCAAGTCATAAGTCTTGAGAACTCGAAGGGCAGCTGTTAAGTAAGCCTGTTAGTGTATGTGTGGAGCTTAGCAGTTCTGAACTCCAGACTTGGGCGTGAGAGCACATTCCCGAGGGTTGCTTCTAAAAAGAGCAACAAGGCCCTTTATGATATATTTACATTTCTCTATCTCCTGGTTTTGGAGGGCCAGACTTGGCACAGATGGTCTTCTGAATGAGTCTGCCTTAGAAGACCTTTCTTGTAGATGTGAAGAGCCATTAGGTCCTTCTTGTCCCCTGTCCTTTGTAGAAGATGCCCAGCTGCAATCTGGATTTGTAGTCACACATTCAGATTGAATATTAAGTAGCAAATACTATTTTCAAGCTAAAAACTTCCCTGGGTCTCCCTA